TGAATGCCAAGGTGGGCGGTCCCAAGCGCTATACCCGTCCTTAAAAGGTCTTTCTCTCTTTTTTGGCAAAGGTGTGGTACCTAATTCCTCAGTCCGATATTACGAGTTCGAGCCCTTTCACGTTGTAGGCACTTGGAGAGAACGACTGTGGGTCTCCACTTAGGACACCATCAACGCCTTTTGATTTTAGCAGCACCACTGCCTTGCAGGTGAAAGACGGAGGCGGAACACTTTACTGATATTTTTTATGTCTCCTTTGGAGCACGAGTTGCCAGCCAGATGACACACAGTTCACCCACCATCCTCACCCGCAAAGTAATGCCGTGTGTCAGCGTTGGCGGTGCCCGCTGAGCCGTTCTCATCCCCACTTCCCGTAACCCTCGACCGCAGCTCGCTCTTAGCACGGCGTCTACTTGGGGATTAATAGATCTATACACGTCTTCTCATGATTTCTCTTTCTGGGGAAGACACAAATGATTACTTCCCCTTGGGAGTACTGTTCTCAGAGGTCATTTAGTTTGCCTTCGCCGTGTTTTTTAAACCATAAACCATGCCATTTCTTTCTCAGTCTCTTCAGATGGAGGTACCGAGTCCTCTGCCTTAGTGGATGACAACGGCAGCGAGGAGGATTACACCTATGAAGACATCTGTCAGGCTAACCCCAGATACCTCCAGCCGGGCGGGGAACAGCTGGCCATCAACGAGGTACCGGAATCACACACAACAGTGGCGGGTCTTGGAGACCCGACTCTCAGGGTACACGGTCACTTTAGACTTGGCCCCCTTGATTCTTTCTCGCTAAACCTATTCCCAAACCTAGAACTCTGATCTCGTGGCATTTTCAAAGACAGTGTATGTGATTAAGTTTTCTAGATAACCAAAGCTCTCACGTTGCTCTAAGTCATAAGGGCAGCAGTCGTTAGTGTTTGGATAGTGCTGTTCAGAAATGCTCTTCCTTACATTATCCCAGAGAGATCTCACAGCCGATCGCAGAGGTAGATGTTATAATTACTACCCATATTTTAATACACACTCAGAGACTAAGAGGCCGCAACACTTGCTAGCAAATGGCAGACCTGAAATTAGCCACGTATTTCTTACTACACATTTGGTGTTCTTTCCACCACTGGGCATCTGCAGCCCCTTTTATGGAACTCTTTCTAGAAGACACCCCTGGCGTTTGGAGTTGTTGACCAGAGTGCATGGAATGTCACTTCTCAATGAGTTAGCGTCTCCATTAGTAATACCAGTTGTTGCTGTAGAAGATGACAGTGTCCCTGGGAGCTGAGAGGACCCACAGCCACCTGCCCCTATGGCCGACTAACAGATGAGCTGTGTCTGTTCCTGGCTTTTTAAATTAGCTGTTAAATATCTGGAGACCACACTGTGTCCTCTTTAATTGTAGTAGACTATCAAGTTAGATTAAGAGTTTATTCAGACCGTGAATGAAGTATGGAGAGTAATCTCTAGGTGAACCTGTGAGTGTCTTACTATAATGTATATACATAACCATTGGAGGCTTGGTTCTGTGTTATCTAGTTTGCTCAGAAAGACAATTGCTTGGGGGCTGAAAATTCCATAATTCATATTTGTTAGATAACTGATGTACAGATAAGTGAGCCGTTTTTTTAA